CTGTTTTTTTTTGAAAATGTAAATGTAAAGGCAAATTTTGCACCGAATGATTTAACTGACTGTTTTTACATGACCTCGTGACTTTTTCATTCTTTTTACTTGTGCGAGTGTATTAGGATAGGGTGGGCTTTGGGTTGGGATGGAATTGTGAAATGGGGGCAACTATACAGTCTACCCAGATTGCGATATATTGCAAAACGGTCAACATGCACTGCTTACACTGATTATTATGAAAGACATATTAACACTAAAAGCTGCTGTTTATTTTCTAAATGTTAAAGACTCTATAAATTTTTAATAACACTTTTAATTTACATACGTATGAAAGGTTAACTTTTATAACACTATTTAGGTCTATATCAAGCAATAATAATAAAAGTGTTCGTACATTTACAGGGTAACAGTGCGTGAAATATAAGCGATCGTATTTTTAATCAAACTTCCGTCCGAAGCCTGCATCACAATATTCGGTATAACGGTTCATTGTTAAGCCAAAAATATGATGTTTGAATGTCAAATATTTGATGGTCTATAACATATGACATGCATATTTATCGAAAGGAATTAAAATCTATTTCTAATAAATAAGTTTTCATAAATGAGCATTTTAGACTTATATTCTCATAGACAAGACTGATTTTGAGAATTTGCTCCCTATGAGATGCTAGGGGTATTTTGTAGTACAAGTGGTATCTTGGTGTATTTTACCTATTTAAGGTATGCTGAATCCGATAATCTTGACTATTGAAATGGCCATTTAAAATGATCACTAAAATGGCCGCCAAATTTCTTTATTATAAATGGATGATATATCAAATAAAACTTTTAAGGAAAGAAAAAGCCTGAAATTTGTCACAAAGCATGTTTAAATAAAAACAAATTAGACACCAAAACAGAATAAAAAAAACCCAAAACAATCCAATATTTTTCTATTGGCCAATATAATAATAATACAAGTAATATTAAAGATAATACTGAAAATTTTAAGGCATTTACGCAGCGAACTACACTCTTTCCTGCCCTATCTGCTAGATATAGAGCTTTCATGTATTTTATATGGCAGTCTATGCAAGCATATAGAGTGGCTTCTCAGATGCCTACTTATATTTGCACAGCGTGGGTTAAAATGAGGAGGTAAAAATGGGTGCATGCAAAATATACATTAATCAAAAGCACCTTTCTCTGAGTACTCTTGGGTTTTGGTGTTCATTTTTCTGTTATCGGTCGTCGCCTACGTTATTCTGTTATCGGTTCTCGTCGCATTTCTCTGCTGTCAGTTCTTCTGTTATTGGTCGTCGTCTCCGTTCTTCTGTTATTAGTTCTCATTGCAGTTCGCTTGTCGTGATCTTCGTTCTCCTGTAATCGGTCCTGGTCTCAGTTCTTTTGTTGTTAGATGTTCTGTTATCGGTTCTCGTCTCTGTTCTTCTCCGTTCTTCTGTCATCCGTTCTGTAATCAGTCCTGACCTCTGTTTTCTTGTTGTCATTTCTTCTGTCATCGGTTCCCGTCTCTGTTATCGATCCCCGTCTTCATTCTTCTGTCATCAGTCCTCGTCTATATTATTCTGTTATTGGTCCTCGTCTCTATTTTTATGTTATCAATCCTCATCTCCGTTGTCTTGTTGTCAGTGCTTCGGTTATCGGTTCCTGTCCTGTTCCTGTCCTGTTCTGTTATAATTACTCGTCTTCGTTCTTCTCCGTTCTTCTGTCATCGGTTCTCGTCTCTTTTCTTCTGTAATCAGTCCTGGTCTCCGTTTTCTTGTTGTTAATTCTTCTGTCATCGGTTCTCGTCTCTGTTATCGAGACCCGTCTACATTTTTCTGTCATCAGTCCTCGTCTATGTTATTTTGTTAACGGTCATCGTCTATATTTCTGTTATCAATCCTCATCTCCGTTGTCTTGTTGTCAGTTCTTCTGTTATCGGTCCCTATCCCTGTTTTTCTGTTATCGGTCGATGTCTCTGTTCGCTTGTTGTCAGTTCTTATGTTATCGGTTCTCGTCGCAATTGTCTGCTGTCAGTTCTTCTGTTATTAGTCGTGACTTTCATTCTTCTGTTATTGGTCCTTGTCGCAGTTCTTTTTGTTGTTAGATGTTCTGTTATCGGTTCTCGTCTCTGTTTTTCTGATATCGGTCGTCGTCTTCGTTTTTCTGTTATCGCTTCTCGTCTTCGTTCTTCTCCGTTCTTCTTTCATCGGTTCCCATGTCTCTGTTATTGATCCCCGTCTCCATTCTTCTGTCATCAGTCCTCGTCTATGTTATTCTGTTATCGTTCCTTGTCTCCGTTGTCTGGTTGTCAGTTCTTCTGTTATCGGTCCCTGTCTCTGTTTTTTCTGTTATCGGTCGACGTCTCTGTTCGCTTGTTGACAGATCTTTTTTATTGGTCCCTGCCTCCGTTCTTCTTTCTGTTATCGGTCGTTGTCTTCGGTCTTGTACTTTCGGTACTTGTTTCCTGTTTCGTTAAGGTCTTCTCTTGTTTCTATCGTTGCCGTCATTCTGTGTCTATGTCCTTGTTTTGTCAGTCTTGTAGTCATTTGTTCGTTGAAGTGGAGTAGCGGGGGATCGAACTCACGATCCCTTGATTTGTAGGCAGACAGTGTTACCACTGCACCACAGCGCCCGCTCTGAATAATAACCATTTTTGAAAATCCTTTATACATTAAATACTATTCCAATGGCTAACAAAGGGTGTAATACAATTATATTTTAACACCTCTGCTATGTAGTCAACCCACGTGACTTTTATATATGGTCAAAGAAAATATTACTCCATTTTTTACAAGTAATATTTTTATAGAAAAGTTTGCTGTTATTTTCAGATATCCTGGAAATTTATTGGAGGGTACCCGGAATGATGTGATAATCTTCTTGTAAAATTTTCTCAAAACCCAGACTGAATTCCAAATTTTCTGAGAGCGTAGGACTGTATATCAGTCCTGTTTATCATAACAGTTTACAATTTTTTTTTCTCTCACATGGCACCAGTAATTATTGGTCTTTTGAAGCGGACTCGAAAGTTAATAATATCAGTCGCAGAAGATAGTTTCACAATCGAGCTTTGATAAATATGTTTAAAGTAATAGTGATTTAAAAGATATTCTCTCAATTTCGACAACTGTTAACTTTTAGAGTATGGCCTAGACAAAAAGTACACACTTTTTAAAGACTCTATTAAACATAAAACCGTATTTTAAAATGGATGGTCATTTGATTTCAAGATATATTTGAGACCAGATCACATATTTTCATGGACGGCTCTTGATTATTAATACAATATAACAATAAGTTTTCCTTTAATCAGATATTATCCCCGATAAAACAGTTCATTTTATGTAAAATACTCCGCGATAAATTGATAGTTTTCAGGGCAAAAATATGACAGTGAACCCATCTGTTTAAAAGTGGACTGGTCCTTAATGGGCGTTTTTTCCATACGTACTTCAAATTTTGATCAAAACAAGCGAAATGTATCATTTTGGATATTATTATAGGAATATGTTTTGAAAAGAAATGCTGATTTAGTATGGACATTTACTTCATGAATAACAATGTTTGGTTTTAGAACAATTTATTATTTGTTATATAAAGAAATGTAACATCGTGTCATGTATATTTCATATTAACAACGTCCATTAACAATTGTTTTCATGGTTTGTATCTAATAATGTTAACACGTTATTTATTGTATTACAGACCTCTCATTTCGGATCAATGCACTAATACATATTTTTTGACAACACTTGACAAGAAAGCTTAAATATGTTAAATGGCGAGTTTTCTATTTTTTGATAAAATTTCTTAAAATTAAATTCATATACTTTTTTTAAATGTTGTTTAATTAACATCAACCCGAATCATAGTTTTGTTAATTTGGAATGGTATACAATATACATTATCAGAAAACATCGTGTCATAATGTCATAGTCAGTCAACTATCACGTTGTTAACTGTTGGAGTATGTTTTGTTAACATAGACATGTTTTCTTTTACCCAGTTTTCTGTACAATGTATTTACTGGCATTCGATCTTACGATATATAGCAACATTAGAGTGGTACTCGTCGAAACACACATTTATGCAATATTGGCTGGGATGTATTTTTAAGCTCGATGGCTTATAAAATTCTATTATTATACATGTTCACCATATTTTTAAAAAAAAAACAATCACGAACCAAACTCTCTTTCTACCCTTACAAAGTTATTCATTTTGTTTGATTTGTTAGCCAAATTGCTAAATACGATTTGTTACGTTACAGTTGCGCAATGGATATTATATGGCGTCGTTTTCATAATAATTTCTTATTAATTTTATTCAATCATGTTTCAAAAGCTGCTTTTTATAATGTTTTATATCTACCCAAGTTTTAAATTCTCAAATACAATAGTATGTAACATACAAGCAGAACTTCTGCCTAAAAATGAATTGCTAAATTTAATCAGAAAGCAATAACAAGTGCTATTTATTCCAAGCCATGTTGTAACGTTCATGTACATTGTATCTGTTTAAAAAAATAAGACAACATTACATTGCCACATAAACAACAATGCAAAATATGTGAAATGCAGTGGTATAATGATGAAATAATGAACATTTTATTCATAAATACAAATATTAAAACATATTTTGCACAAATGAAATGAAGAGAGTAAACTAAAATAATTGATCAAAGATGATTTGAGCCGCGTCACGACAAAACCAACATAGTGCGTTTGCGACCAGCATGGATCCAGACAAGCCTGCGCATCCGCGCAGCCTGATCAGGATCCATGCTGTTCGCTTACCAACCCTATTACAAGTAGAGAACAGCATGGATCCTGATCAGACTGCGCGGGCTGGTCTGGATCCATGCTAGTCGCAAACGCACTATGTTGGTTTTGTCGTGACACGGCTCATTTAAATACTTAATACGATGACTGGTGCTTCGTAATTATACAATATAACATTTCATACGTAGCATCTAGCAAGACATTTTGGTTGCTAGTTGCCATCTTTATTTTGTTTAGTTTTTCAAATTTTACATTTTAAAAAATATACACTCCTTTTGTAATTTATATCAGGAAGATGGAATTTAGAAATGTCTTTGAAATATTCAAAATTGTATCTAGTATTTCTTTGGATAGGGTCTCCTCCATTTTGGCAATTTAAGTGGTGGTCTAAATTTCGGCGACTTGATTGGAGGTCTCCATTTTGGTGCTTTGAAAGGTGGTGGAAACTTTGGTGCCTTTATAGGTGGGGGAAATTTTGGTTTCTTAATTGGTGGTCGCCATTTTGGTGCCTTGAAAGGTGGGGGAAATTTTGGCGTCTTAATTGGTGGACGCCATTTTGGTGTCTTAATTGGTGGACGCCATTTTGGTGTCTTGATCGGAGGCCGCCATTTTGGTTTCTTGATCGGAGGGCGCCATTTTGGTGGTGTCTTAATTGGTGGACGCCATTTTGGTCTCTTGATCGGAGGACGCCATTTTGGTGGTGCCTTTATTGGTGGACGCCACTTTGGTGGTGCCTTTATTGGTGGACGCCATTTCGGTATTCTTATTGGCGGTCGCCATTTCGGTTTCCTAATTGGCGGTCTCCATTTGTACGGTGACTTCCATTTAGGTGCTGGTATTTTTGGTCTGTATACAGGTCTCCGCCATCCCCATGAGCCTGAAGTTAAATTTAATGCTTGTAAATGTAAGCAACACATATTTGGGTTAGAGACTTATTTCATTTTAGATTACCATATACATGGATGGTAGTCTGGTAGTTCCTTCCCCGTACTCTACTAGTAAATGTAGGTAGGGTTCCAGACGATAGACATGGTAGCGCAGAACTTACCTTTTTATCACCTTCCTCTTATTCTTATAATAACAATTATAATGAAATACAAGACATTGTGTTTTCTCTTTTCAAACAATACTTATACTTATGTTTTTGAAATTTATTACTCATATTTCTTATGTTTGTTGTTTTATTTTTGTAATGTATCAAATTTTGCATTTTTTTTATTCTCATTATGTCTGACTTCACTTTAGTTGTATTAACGACGCTTGTTTTTTTTTATTTTTTGTTTTGTTTTGTTTTTAGATGTAAATTCATGGCATGACCAATTTTTTCTTCTTCTAAATTTATGACACGACCAAAGACTGTATGTTGTAAACTCTAATAAAATGAGATCATTTAGCGCTAGGAATAACTCAATGTAATAATGAGGTTTCCTTGTTGATCTTGTTTACCGCATTTTAACAAAAATGATTATGATGATAACAATTATGACGTATGTAATAATGATGATGATGATGATAATAATAATAATAATAATAATAATAATAATAATAATAATAATAATAATAATAATGATAATAATAATTATAACAATGATAATAATAATAACAATGATAATAATAATAATGATGATGATGATGATGATGATGATGATGATGATAATAATAATAATAATAATAATAATAATTGATTATAATAACAATTGTGATAATAATTATAATTTATGATAATAAAAATAATAATAATAATAATAATAATAATAATAATAACAATGAAGGCGACGGCAATGATGATAATAATGACGATAATGATAGCACTAGCAAAAACAACAACGCTAATAATTATAATAATAAATATGTTCCTACCTCGTCGGTAACCTCCATACATTGGACGATATGGGTCATAGAATGACATATACCGACCGTAGTCGTCATCAAAATTGTCCCAGTCACTGTCATAGAAATCACCAAAATTATCAAATCTGCCGAAACCACCATAAAATCCATCAAAATTATCGTGATAATTATCAAAATAATCGTTGTCATAACCATAGCGATTATAGATATTGTATCCGCCTCCCATAAACAGTCCTCCACCGAAACCTCTGAATCCATAGCCGCCCCGCATACCGCGATATCCGCCGCCCCATAGTGACAATGAGTGACCACGTGACGGATAATGCGCCGCAGAAATGGCTATCAGGACAGCGAAAATGCTGAGTTCTAACTTCATGGCGCACTGCTGGAAGTAGAAAGAAACAAACGTTGTTCAAAAAGCGTGGTCTATGCTGATTTTCTTCACTCCACTTTGAAAAGCCGTTTCATACATAACTAGTAATAAACTTGTTTATATTTATTTCATAATAAAATCAATTATAAGCATTTTTATAAACAAATGTACAACTTAAGACTTAAAAATTGTCTTTTAAATGAAAAGAATTATAAAAAGTGTACAAGAACGACAACATTAAGACAGCCGATTACGCGTGAAGACTTTATCGAGGGTTACAATGTATGATTATGCAACGAAATATTTGATGATGAAAGTTTTTTAAAACTCTCTATATCATTTGATTGATAAATATATAACAAACTAAACTAAAAAGAGCCAGATATAGAAAATTGTTACAATAGTTTTTTTTAAATATAATCATATCTCCCTGGAGACAGTTAAGTAAAATCAGATTGTGCTTTAACGGTCTGTCATATTGGGCACCTTATTCATTTCTGCGCGCAAGAAATGTAAAGTATCTTTTAGTTCATCAAAATATCTCTAAACATCTACACATCTTAACCTAGACACTTAAACAACACGGTTATATCGAATTTCCGGTTATAAAGAACAACTATTTTTGACCCGAATTAAATGTCATTCTTAATTCAATATAGAAATATACGGTTATAGTGAACACAGTTATAAGAAATTATTGCTTTTTTGGATCTACAAAACTAATGTTCTACACCTAAAAAGCTGATCTTTTCACACTTTCATATATCAAATTATTGCAAAAAAATTCAAACTTACCGTTTCGTCATCAAGCCTAGAACTGAAACATAGGACATTTTCTGTTACTATTTATACATGAATATTTAATTAAATTGCCAAAATTTGGAGTAATAAATATGCCTTTTTTCGTTTGTGATGTATTTAAAGGTCACCAACACACTGACACAGTTCATACTTTGGTTAATTAAAAAATCAACTAATTAACAGGGAATGTAAGAAACTTTAACCTTCTTAGCTTTCAATATTATTTAGTTCAGTGACATAATTATGTTAAAAACGTGAATGAATTATGCATGAAGTTTTTATTTTCTAATGTACATTTTTATGAAAGAAACAATACTGAGTATATTTTACAAAGTCATCTAGTAAAAAGACATTCCAATGGAGGAACAGAAAGGATGAAAGAAACAATATGTTGTGTGGTTTGCATTTATTGCTTAGCTCATTGATATTTTCATATTCAAGTAAAAGATTAGCTTATTTTAGAATTGATTGTTTTATAAAGTTTATGATAATAATTAAAAAAATTGTATCAGAGTTGCATCATGAAACTTTGGTCACAAAATGTAATATCATTTGTGCATGAAAATCACACAGACGCAACAGAGTGAGGATTTTGACGATTTAAGATTATGGTTCAAGTCATCAATGGGAAAGGTGTTTAAAGGTGTTGAAAGAGACACTAAAGAGTTTTGACATAACGAGATTGAAAATAATTTTCAGTTTATACAAATTTATTTTAGTTCGATCGTGTTGGAAGCTATAAGCTTATTGAAACACTCTCGAATCCGTTCCTTGAACCAACCAGTGCTAAGCCATGAATGTGAAGTTTTTGCACAAGGAAATAGCAGCTTGCCTCTGACAGGGTTTTGAACCCACGCGGTCAACAATCCTTAAATTACTTCCCCGACGCGTTAATCACTCGGCCACACCGCCACTATCGAATAATAAACTATCAAATACTTTTTCAAGATGAATGTTTCATTTGAGTCTAGTCCATTGACTTTCATGCAAACTTTCCAAATTATTCGCTTTTACTATTTACAACATATATATGTACAGTAAGCATATATAAACACACTGATATATTTCGTGGATTGGAAAACAAGTCAAATGTGACTTATGTAAATTCCTTTCCACACATAATGTACTTGCAATAAAAAATATGCACATATTTGGTTAGAATAATACAGAAAAGAGTAATCATATAAATAATTAAAATAAATAAATTTGTTATTTAGCAATATTATCTAGAGTAGTACTTTCTTTCAAACTTTTATTTCCATCTTAGGTTTACATCAAGTAAACAACATAAGCATCGTTTTATAATAATTACAGTGAATAATGGCGATATATTAACAAGTGCTATGTAAATAGAGAATGACAAACATATCCAAATCATACATGTAACATTACAAATAAACATACATATAGCAAATAAATATATGTTTCAAGTAAACAAGCAATCCAGGCATATCAGTGTTACAAATTTTTAGATATAATTTCGATAAAAATACTAAGTTTATTCAGTAAACTTTTATTTTCACTACTAAACAATTCTTCTAATTTGAAAAAATTGGGATTAACATAAAAATACCGTTTTAAATACTTTTTTCTTTCCTCAAAAAACTTTTGACATTTGAACAAATAATGAAATTCGTCACCTACATCATCATTACAAAAGGAACATTTTCTTTCAGAAGAAGGTATACCCTGCCATCTTCCTGTTTCCACAGGTAGCCTATGATTTCTAGTAAAAAAACGCATAATTGATAAGCTTCGTCTAGATGACAAAATCTTAATATAAGCACTTCTACCAAACTCAGTTTTAATACCTTTGTAAATATTCGTGTTTGATGTTAATTGTATATCAGAGCGCCATTTCTGTATAAAATTATCTTTTAACTTTCGGCAAATTGACCCAATCAGCCATTTCTCATTTAAAAAACTCTGACAGTACCATACTCCAGAAAAACCTGAAGAACATAACAAATTTCTAACATTTTCGATCCATTGGGACTTAACATTGTTTAAATTATTCATTTCATATAACATGCTGTAAACCTTACCAGATAGTTTGTCGGTATTTTCGCTCGAACAATTTATTAGTTTCGTCCAAAAGGATATAACTCTTTGGTATATATCAATACGAACTGGAAAAATTCCAAGTTCACCATATACCATGTATGAAGGTGTTGATTTCTTAAGTTTAAAAATATATTTGTAAAACTTTAATTGAACTTTTTCAATGATATCAACATTTCCAAACCCCCAGATTTCACATCCATAAAGTAAAACTGGCTTTACCAGTTTATCAAAAAGATCAATCTGTAATTCGTATGGTAAATTTAAATGTTTAATTTTTTTCAAAAGTGAAAACAATGCTTTATTTCCTTGGTCTGCTATGTATTTCTTCGTTGAAATAAACGACCCACTTTTAGTAAAATAAATGCCAAGGTACTTGTATTCTTTAATAATTTCTACTTGGTTATTGCCAATATAAAATTTCAAGTTTCGTCTTATGTTACCTTTACTAAATATAAGTACTTTTGTTTTATCAACATTTATTTTTAATTTCCATTGATCACAATATGTTTTGAAAGTATTTAATGCATTTTGTAAATCTTTTTCAGTTTCTGCAAAAATTACAGTATCATCTGCATACAAAAGAACAAATATTTTCAAGTACATTTGCAAATTTTCTACCTTCCAATTTCTACAAAATCCATTAACATTTTTATCACATAAATAGTCTTCCAAGTCATTTAAAAATATACTAAATAAAAACGGGGACAAATTTTCGCCCTGTCTAACACCAACATTACAATCAAAAAAGTTAGTAGAACCTTCACTTGTTACTACTTTTGACTTAATATTACTATACAAGTTATAGATAACACTAAAACATTTTCCATTAATTTTTTCTTTTCGTAATTTATACCATAGACCGTTTCTCCAAACAGAGTCAAACGCTTGTTTAAAATCTATAAAACAGCAATAAAGTTTCTTACTATTAGACTGCACTATATCTATTAGGCTTTTGAGTATAAATAAGTTATCACTAGTTGAGTAAGATTTTCTGAAACCTGCCTGAGATGTTTTTATAAGTTTTGCCTTTTCTGCATATATATTTAATCTGTTATTCAAAATGCATGTAAAAAGTTTGCCAAAACAGCTCAAAAGTGAAATAGGCCTGTAATTTTCAGGTAGAGAAGGATTACCTTTATTTTTATAAATTGGTTTTATTACACCAATAGTCCATGATTCTGGAATTAACCCAGTGTCAAAAATAACATTAAACAATTTACAATATAATGAAATCATGGTATTGGATGATGATACTATCTGTTCATTTATTATATTGTCAATACCTGGAGCTTTATTATTTTTAAGGGTTTTAATAGCTTTACGGATTTCAGCTTCAGTAATTTTCGAGTTAATTTCTTCATTTAAAATATCATTGTTTTCGACAAAGACAGGACAATCATTTCCATTTTCAAGATCATCAGAATTCAATTCTTGGAAAAAATCAAAGAAGTCATCTAGACTTGCATTTGTTTCTGACGCCTTTACTTTAGGGTTAATAACTTTCCAGTACATTTTTTATTTTTCCAAAATAATTATTCAAATTGTTCAAAAGTTGAAAAGCCTTGCATCTATTTCTGAGTATATTTCTTAATAATCTTTTGTATAGCTTTCTATATTAAGTGCCCCAGCTGATCTATGTAAGGAATTCGTATTTTAGAAATTCGAGCACCAGTATTCGAAAAGTTATATAGAATATATCAATCAATTACTTGATGACATGAAAAGCTAAAACCAACTTTGGCTGTAAATGATTTACTTTTGACTATGATTGTGAACGACTTAAATAAACCCCACTAATGTGTGTTTTTTTTTGACATGATAGACTTCAAATTATTTCCCGGAATTAATGATCCACATTTTATTTGTGTGTAGACCAATAGCCATTCATCTTTCAGTTTTTTCCAGAATAATCAATTAATTAATTATAAGATTATTTTAATTGTGAAAAAATGACCCAACATTGAAACTTGTTGCAACGCTTTCACTCAGATCGGGCCAAAATTGCACAAAAACATGAATTCAATTGATCTTGGAGTATATTTTTTTAACATCTTTTGCATATTTTTCTGTTTTAGGTACCTCAGCTGATGTTCGTAAACAATTTAAAGTTTATGGCCTTTAGGCCTCAATTGAGTCCATTTAACACCACCCGAAGCTCGGCTTACTGTCACGCATTTGCTTCAGAGCTTTTGCTATAATTGCTGCCATAGCAAATAAGAGTTGGTTGACTAGAGGAGAAGAATATTAAATTCTATCAAAGTTAATAAAGTTTCGCCGTGATTTATTACCTATATAATATATATTAGCACCTTTCTAAGAAACATAAACTGTATAAATGTTATAACGGCTATAAATAATATTAATGGTGTGAACACTTCATATTTTAATTGTATCTGAGACACCTGGGTTATTGATGCGACAATTTTGTTATGTCACTTTTTTTCTATGATGTAAGAATGGTTATCAACATTGTAATAAAGATTTCAAACGAACGTCAGGAAAAGTTTAAAACAAACCAACCTTTGTAATCGAATTTTTAAGCGTAAATATTAACTATGATTTTAATTTCGAGTGAACGAAAAAAAAATGCTTGACATCATAGATATTAGCAATTTCTAGTACATGTGTACCGTGTTAACCCTTTAACTCAATTAACCCGGAAGTACTGGGGAACATCAAAGTAAAATGGTCAGAATAATGCCGATTTTGATGTTACTGCGTCAGTGAGCCAATGTTAATTGCAAATTTTCAGCAGTGAAAAGCCGGTGGTAGGAAGGCACCTAATACCTCGTTACTTTAATCAGGATCGGCGGTGAAAAATGTGAAAATTGCAGAACCACAAAGCTCATTTAAACTTTCATGATTAAAGTCAGCTGGGTAAGTTAAATACTTATTTAAATGTAGAAGTTAGTTTTAACTAATTTTATTTAGTTCGATTGTGTTTGAAGCTATAAGCTTGCTCTTAAAACAAATTCTCGAATCCGTTCCTTCAGGCAATCAGTACTGAGTAATGAGTGTACATTTTCTTGCTCAAGGAAACAACGACTTGCCCCTGACGGGGTTTGATTCCACGCGGCCGGCAACCCTTAGATTACATGTACTAGTCTGGCGCGTTTAACACTCGGCTACGTCGCTACTCAAATGTTTGATTTAGAAATCCGCCGAAAAAATTGTTTATTAGATATCGTCCCACTGTAAACTGATGCAGAAACATGAGTTGTTAATGCTTAGCTTTTTCCAATTCATCATTTTAAGAAAAATTAAAGAAACGAAAAAAGAATATAAATGTAAACTGAAATTTTATTATAAAACAAAGAGTATAAATAATCAAAAATAATAAATAAAGAATAAACAAGTGAAACATAAAATGAAGTGAAAATAACGGATATAAAAGTGTAGCATGTAACATTAAAAGGTTGAAAAAATACATAAAATCTGTCGTTCGGCATTTTAAAACACTCACAAAATTACGCTATAAAATACTATTTTCGTCTGTTAATATAAACTTCATGACGATAAAAATCGTGCAGCTATAGTTAAACATAATTAGTTAAAACGTTTATTTGAAGGCACCATTAGATAGTTGAAGTCCATTTGGAAGTCCTTGAGTAAGGGAACCCTGATTCTGGAACTGATTATTATTTGGAAATCCTTGAGACAAAAATCCTTGGTTCTGGAGCCGATTGTTATTTGGAAATCCTTGAGAAAGAAAACCTTGATTCTGGAATTGGTTAACATTTGATTGAAACTGAGGATTAACAAATCCCTGGTTGTTAGGGATAGATGGTACATTTGTGCCGAAGATATTCTGCGTTGCAAATGTATTCCATGGGTAGTTGCTGCCGGTGCCAGGTATGACCTGGTTTGTTGAGGAGAATGTATTCCCTGTCGGTGCCAGTCTACCACCGGACAAACTCTGATGAACACCAGTGTTGAACCGTCTGTACTGTTCCCATGGATCTGTGCTTGACATAACATTGCTGTTAAAACCATTATTCTGCAATTAATAAAACAACGTTTTGTCATAAGGTATATACTGTATGTTTTCCTATTTATTACTATGTACATAACAAAAAATAAAAAAGCTCATTTCTTTGCTATTTTAATATTAGTAAACCATTTAACTGGCTTCACCATTTATATTGCATTTTTTGTTACTCGCTTAAAAAATAAATTGTAAACCGGGAAATTGTCCCAAATTGAACGTATAGTATATTAAGGTCACCTTTAAGTATTATTAAATTTCTGTCATGAAAACGACTGTCATAAACCTGTCACACGCCTTAATTTTATTGTACATGTATTAAAATTGGAAGATTTCAAGCCTATGAAAAATGATTTTAAATAAACAAAATAGGTATTGTGTGAATACATACATGTGAACAGAACAAAATAAATTATAGACCTTGACAATTGCACAGTGTAGAAAAAAACCTAACAAAAACATGCGAAATCTTAGAAGTATTTAAAGCAATTAAGAATGAAATTTACTTAGAGAGTCTACTATAATTCCAATGTAATTTGAATAGAAAGGAAAATAAGTCTTATTAACTTACTTCCAAAGGTGAAACACCTGGGAAGCCGTTATTCCATGCGTGTTGGTTGTTGAACGTGTTTGGCCATTGACCGAAATTAGGAAAACCTCCTTGTGTAATAATTCCACCTGTTAATAAAAAGATACGTACATACATGTATATCAATACATTATAATTTGTAAATATTCAATGAATGAAAATGAATATTTTTTTTGTGCACAATTTCTGGACAATTGAATCCTTTCATTCAAACTTAATGTGCGACATTTATATATATTTACAGGTACAACCCGCTTTCCAAAGTCCCCTCAGTTAAAAGTTAGTATAATTACGAGCATTACGGAAAATTTAAATACATTAACAGAAAGATACTAACATAAAGCCAAATTCCAAAAGCCCGTTTAATAACAAAAACTATGGAAACTTAATTTTAACACGTTTAAGTTAAGGTATTATATCCAATTAAGCTATTAAGTGATGATACATGTAAATACAAAATCATTTTATCCGATTAATTTGCGTCTGCAAAATCCGGCTCTTTAATTTTGTTTATACGTTTTCTCTCTACAAAAATGTATGTTTGTTACTTATTATCAATTTTTTAAAAAGTAAAATAAGCATAAAGTTTTCGCTGGCTGGCGCTTTACACCACAAATGAAGCGAATTGCCTTCAGTTTTCAACACTCACCTCCCAACATGCCAGGGTTTGTAAAGAATGGATCATTCATCTGCTGGTGTCCAACTAACATATTATGGTGAGGTCCAAACGGTTGTCCAAAAGGACCCAATTGTTGATGTTGCATTCGAATTCTATCACCGTGTAAATGAGCTCTCACGCTGGCACCTACCAGAGCACAAATTGTGAACACAAATAAGCATTTCATTTTTTTGTTTTATGTTGTCTGTCCAAAAAGGGTCTATTTCTCGGTTGTAAGATCTGAAATTTAAATGAAAAGCGATTAAAAACAAAACTGTCACTTCGGATATGAAAAATAGAGAACAAATAAATAAATAAATAATTAAATGAATAAATAAATAAAACATTCATATATTTCACCCAACGTACACAAATTTCAGATGTATATAATTTTAAAAGTATGTATCATTTTTGTTCATTTCTAAATCAATGTATTCACAGTGAAATCAAGATTTAATTCACCAAATATAATTACATTTAACGATATCTTCTTATTTATCAGCAAGTTATATATTTATAAAACATGATACGAAAGAAGTTCGTGAATAAATATCTTCTTACCTGTTTCAGCTATGGTCACTTGGTTATGTTAATTTATCATTATTTTCTAGTATTTATATAGGTAAAAATCACTCCCTGGTCCACAATAATTATTATTGTGACCAATTTACAAACATACTTCCTGAGATTACTCAACGCCATGTTCATCAATACGTCTTGTTTACAAATCAATTAAATCAAATCAAAACGCAGGTAAATCAATTAAATTTTGAAAATTATGTGATCACTTCCGTTAAGTCCCCGATACTTTGTACATTTGCTTGACAAAATTGAGTCATAACTTTTATTTTGAACCACAAGGTTGTAGTAAAATTTAATTTAACGAGAAAAATCTGTCAATATTTCAATAATTTGACGCTGACCACAAATTCCTGAGATTTAATAACCTTGAACGTGTGAAATACGTCATGATAATTAAATTTATTGATAAATTATGATAGACAGGAAAGACTTCAAAATTGAAATTTCAATGTATTCTCCATAGAATAGAACAACACATCTGTAAGGTCGTACACTTAAAACGACTTGGCCTTTACCGCTCTGGGTTCGAATCCAGCCAGACACTTAGATTTTTTCCTGTTAAGAAGCCTTCAATCTAGTTTTCGGAACGTCGGTGGTTCTAGGTGCAGTCGTGTACGGAGTGGCATATTTTGTCTTTTCTACCTGTAAACTTGGAAAGTCGTCATATATTATTTTCAGTGTTTATAAAGACATCTTTAGAGTGATGGATCTCATTTATGTATATTGCCGGCTCGCCATGGCGAGCCGGTATTACGTTAGGATTTTACTGAGAAACAACCTAAAACTCCGAATTCATCCAAAAATTTAATCGAAGCTTGGCTTCCAGCTTTCTACAAAATTTATCTATAAGGGCTAGGATCCAAAATTATTTAGCCAATCAAATTTGATCTTACATAGCGTCAAAAAACCTTCAATTTTCACGCCATTTTTAAAAAAGCAGCAAGTATTGTTTTGAGCGCAAAGATATAATGATGATTAAAATGTTTGTTTTCATGGATACTTTTCAATAAATCATATTTACACTGACTTTTGATTTAGCGATTTCACCAGTCCTGTTTTCTCTGTAGTAAGTTTTCGTTTGGTTAATTAACATAAACGACATCTGGTTTTGTGCATTTTTTTCTTTTTCCTTTTTTCCGGTCATTTCATTCTTTCCGGTATTTAGTGTATGTATTTACTGGCCGGGATCCGGGACGCCCGGGATCCGGGATCGTATAAGATATAGAGGAAAAAACTAATAAACTATATTTGTGTTGATTATTGTCGTAATGAAAGGCCATTAAACGTTAAGTTTCTTTTTATTGTATGTAATGAAAGTTAAATTAATTTAACTTAGGATATAGCTATATTTAGAGCTATTTATTAACAAAATCACAATACTTATAATTATACGCCTATTTAATAGGAAAAATCAAAGACTATATTCTTAAATTGGTCAAATCCCGGGATCCCTATATGTTTTAATACGATCCCAGCTTTTCTGAAAACAATATTCTTGAACTGGCCAATTCCTGGGATCCTATTTTTTAATAGGATCCCGGCTTTTCTGGCTGAATTGATTGACAACTTGTGTTTACTTTAGGACTTGTGTCTGTCACTCATTCCAATACTAAATAACATATTACAACTTAACTTCGTATAAAGAGACATCTTTATGAATTCTACTTATCTAATTTTTTTTCTGGTCAAGGTCAACAGGCCATATAGTAAATGTGCATAGACATAGGGACTTCATTCTATCTGTTTACATGCATCTTCATATATACTCATATTCCTCTTTGTTAAACTGAGAGAACTGGCTTCCATTACTTTATATGTCACTTTTATTTTGATGTTCGCTGAAGTCTCTTCAGCTAACAGAACTGTCATTTTTACATTTAAACACACCCCTTGAAAGAAATTACGAAGCGAGTCGCTACAAGCTTTTTTAAAAGCTAACCTTGTTGTATGTATATTTAGTATATATTTAATCGTAGTGCATACAATAATCAATGGCTGGATTTCCTTAATGACGAATCCACGTGGCACTTTGACAATGTGCGGATTGAAATTTTATAAATTTTTATGTATATTTTATGAAATAATAAATGGATTTTTAAAATAAAGCGCATCGACCGACCTTGTATGAAGTCATACAATTCATTTCAATAAAACTTCCCCAATAAATTATTCGGAAAATTGTAATTGACTGCATAAGTTTAGAATTGATGACTTCACACAAAGTGCTTTCTTGCTCAATATTAAAACAGCCGAAATCATGGCTATATTTAGCATGTTCCGCCGGGAAATTTGTCAAGAAGTCACGTGGGGTCACCATCCCTGTGTCATTAGCAAAATTATAAAAAACTAAGCCTAAATATATAAAAGACCGGTGGGGACATTTCAACTTTATGAATTCACGATTTCATCTTCGTGTATTCATGAAGTTGAACTCGCGAATTCATATGAAGTTGAAATTGTGAAACCCGATAAATCAAGAAGTGTGAATGTCCTCACAGGTCTTTCGAATTAATGTCTTTCATTTTTATTTGCTCGCTGAAATTTAACATATCTAAAATGTAAATTATAGAAGTGTAACAAGTTCAAAGTGAAAAACAATTGAAACATAGTACTGAACAACACCTTCTTGCGCAATTGTCTTACGTCAATGTACTGCATTTTCCTTTAAAGCGTCATACATCATGTCTACAAGATGAATTAACTAATGATTATATGTCGTCGACCTTTAAATGACTTTGCACTTTACCAGGTCACAAGTGATGTATCGAAATATAAACTCTATGCAGGATTTTTATCATTATTATTTTCAAACGAAAACACCTGGTTTTATTATAAGCGTTTATATAACCAAATAAATATAAACAACAGACCATGATGCATGTGCGCTATAACAATAAATTAACATTTTTAAAGGATTTGTTTTACTCATCTCATCCTAAATAATGTATATGTTAGCTTGATTTTGAATTAGAAACGAGAAATTGCTAGTTTGATAGATGGTCGGTGATATATTGGTATAAAGTTATGAACACAATTCATGAAACTTGTGAAAGATGTACACATGTGAAACAGTTTGACTTCCTCAACAACTAAGGAAGATATACATTACATACTTTTTAGCTGGCGTTCTAGCGTAGATTTAGTCTGTATCATCCAGACGTTTGAGTCTTAACTCCCACAAAAAACTCAAACGTTTGAATAATAAAGAGTAGCATGCACTGGCGTAGAATTCAGAAATAAAGAGCTGTTACCGTGTACTGTGTTCCGTTTGGACATTGGAGTTTCAAAGTCATAAGGATGATTTTTCAATTTAATTGGACCACTTCAGCAAAATCTTGTTAAGGTCAAAGGCAGAGTCTATTGTCTAAACATAAAAAATTGAATATTTCCTTCACTTGGACGTACATATATTTGAACTATTGATAAATGAATAATTGTTAGCAGTCAATTGCAAATAGTTTAATGAAAAGTAAAAATACCTCGTGCAGCTTGCCTGAACCATTACCCTGCTGGAACCAGAAATGATTAGCTTTTGTCACCAATATAGAGTTGTGCAGTTTGACAAGGTTCTATTCTGTTTGTTGCTCTATTTTTGTATTTTGATTTTTAAATTCATTATTGTCAAGGTCACTGACTTCGACTGATATTCCCTCGAAATTTAGAAGTGGCATTGAATTTCTTCACGTCAGTAAGCAACACATTTAGCTTCCGGGAGCTCTTTGTATCTACTTGTCGACCAATTATTTTTAAATAATGTATGGGGAGGAGAATCTAGGGTGGGGTGGTGGATCGGCAGAAGGGTATTTAACACTTAATAGTGCGCTTGGTACATTTAGTCACCAGTTATTTTGGAATGAAAAATAGATTTAATCATGTGTACGGTGCAGGGAACAGTTCCGTCTTAAAACATTATTAAATGTAAACAACACACATGTATTCAAAAATATGAGACTTTCCATTGCACTACCTTTGTCATATTAAAACTCTCGTTAAAAGCTCTTTTGTGTGTGCCAGTGTAAATAAAACCACGATAAGAATTGTTAATGTTACATGTAACCACTTAAACTTTGCGCATGTCTTTAAGCATATTATATTACTAAAACCACTTTTAAAAGAGTGGTATAATCTGCTTTTAAAAGGTTTTTCACTGAGTTTCTTTTTATTGTATGTAATGAAAGTTAAATTAATTTAACTTAGGATATAGCTATATTTAGAGCTATTTATTAACAAAATCACAATACTTATAATTATACGCCTATTTAATAGGAAAAATCAAAGACTATATTCTTAAATTGGTCAAATCCCGGGATCCCTATATGTTTTAATACGATCCCAGCTTTTCTGAAAACAATATTCTTGAACTGGCCAATTCCTGGGATCCTATTTTTTAATAGGATCCCGGCTTTTCTGGCTGAATTGATTGACAACTTGTGTTTACTTTAGGACTTGTGTTTGTCACTCATTCCAATACTAAATAACATATTACAACTTAACTTCGTATAAAGAGACATCTTTATGAATTCTACTTATCTAATTTTTTTTCTGGTCAAGGTCAACAGGCCATATAGTAAATGTGCATAGACATAGGGACTTCATTCTATCTGTTTACATGCATCTTCATATATACTCATATTCCTCTTTGTTAAACTGAGAGAACTGGCTTCCATTACTTTATATGTCACTTTTATTTTGATGTTCGCTGAAGTCTCTTCAGCTAACAGAACTGTCATTTTTACATTTAAACACACCCCTTGAAAGAAATTACGAAGCGAGTCGCTACAAGCTTTTTTAAAAGCTAACCTTGTTGTATGTATATTTAGTATATATTTTATCGTAGTGCATACAATAATCGATGGCTGGATTTCCTTAATGACGAACCCACGTGACAATTTGACAATGTGCGCATTGGAATTTTATAAATTTTTTATGTATATTTTATGAAATAATAAATGGATTTTTAAAATAAAGCGCATCGACCGACCTTGTGTGAAGTCATACAATTCATTTCAATAAAATTTCCCCAAATAAATTATTCGGAAAATTGTAATTGACTGCATCAGTTTATAATTGATGATTTCACAAGAGGTGCTTTCTTGCTCAATATTTAAACAGCCGAAATTATGGCTATAT